CCCACCTACCCGCCCCTCCCTCCTCACTGACCAAACCCCATCCCAACTCCCTACCTACACTCACCTTTACTAGCTCCATCCCTGCCTCTTTGACCTGTCTGTCTTCTCTCCACCTATCTTCTCCTTTATCCACCTTCCATCCGCCTCCCCCACTCTCTCTCTATTTATTTCAGAGACCCCTTCCCCCTCCCCCATTTCTAAAGAAGGGTCTAGGCCCGAAACATCAGCGTTCCTGCTCCTCTGATGGTGCCTGGCCTGCTGTGTTCATCCAGCTCTACACCTTGTTATCTCAGTACAGAGGGAGATGCGAAAACATCAAAGTCCTGTTCTGACCCTCAGCTCAGGGGCTGGGGGTGGGGGCCACTTACCAACCACCTCCCCCACCCCCAACCCCCGGTCCGGTTCCCTGCCAACGCACCATACCCCCCAGCGACGCACGATCAAAAGAGGATTCCAATCCAATTCTTCAAACTGCTTGTTATTTAATTGGATAAAACATTTACGAGCCAGGAGTACCGCGGTGGGAATCAAACCCACACTTCCCCACCGCCCCCCCATCCAACTCCCACCCCACCCCTCAGGGTCAGCGTCCGTCCTCCACCCCGCCCTCAGACTCCACACCAGAGCGCGCGCGCGCACACGAGAGAGGGGGCGCGGGCGCGCGCACGAGAGAGAAAGAGAGTGTGAGAGTGTGATGGGGAGGCAGTTACAGAGGAGGATCCCTCAGTCCCCTCAGGGACGGGTGGTGGTGGGGGGGCGAAAAGAGGGAGAGTCTCGAACAAACAGCAGAATGGGCTAGGAGGGCTCAGAGCTGAATGGCCTGCTCCTGTTCCCTGCATTTCACTGCTGTAAACCCCCTCCCCCAGCCTCACCATCTTGGGAATGTGTCTGGGTACATGTCTCGCCTGTAAACCCTCTCTCCACTCTCCTCGCCAGTTCCTCGCCGTGGAGACAGAATACGACAAGCTGGAGAGAAATGGCCCAGACTTCTAGAAGGTTCTGCGCCCTGCCCCGGCGACGATGACCCGCCACCCCGCGGCCTGAAGGCAGCTGTTCGACCCCCGGAGGCTTCAGGCCAGCCTCCCTGGCTGTTCCTGGACCCACAAGTAGCCGATTCCCCCTGCTTTCTGTAGGAGCGAGCTTTCGATGCGGCTCTGTAATAAACTTTCCTGGGAAACAACGCTGCTGTCTCTGTCCTCACTTTCCACGGCCAGCGGGTGGGACTTGCTGGTTTCTCGTGAGGGGGAAATGGAGTACGAGGGATAGGGAGGTGAGGTTTCAGCTCGACAGCCCGCGCCTGGGGAAGTATGTACAGCGTCGGACTCCCAGTCAAAAGAATGCATCAGAGAGAGAGAGAGAGAGAGAGACGGAACGGGGAGGGGAGAGACAGACAGAGGGGGCAGGGGAGAGAGACAGACAGAGGGGGCAGGAGAGAAATGGGAGAGGGGAGGGAGGAGAGGGGGAGAGGCGGAACAGGGAGGGAAGGGAGGGAGACAGAGAAAGAGAGAGACAGAGCGGGGAGGGGAGAGAAGGGGGAGACTCTGAGCGGTGAGGGGAGAAAGAGAGAGAGACTGAGTGGGGAGGGGAGAGAAGGGAGAGAGACTGAGCAGGGAGGGGAGAGGGAGAGAGAGAGAGAGAGAGAGAGAGA